TCTAACTCCCTAATCTACATCATAACTGAGAAGTCTCTTGGGTTTTATGAGCTAATGATGTGACATTGACCATAAGTACAAATTGTACATAAACATGAAGATTTCTACTCTCTACTTTTTTACTCAACTGCCATGTCTTTTCCCAAAATTCTGTGGCTCTACATGAGTTTCAAATTTAAGGTGAAGCCCAGCACTTACTTTGGCTGACTGGATTACTCATTGGACTAGGGTATTTTGACCAGCCTCAAAGAAAACACTACACAGAAGGCTAAGTTCCAAAAGTACATTATCAGAGCCCCCAGAAAATGGCAACTGTCCCATGTGACATTGAAAAAAACCACTTTTTTTCTCTCCTTTACTTTAAATTTCACTTACACCCTTTTCCGTCATATTATTGCATTTTTGAATTTTAAAACATACTTAGATTTCCTTTAAAATATTAGCTTTTAACTTCCTGTTAGTATGTCTGTGATAAAGAAATATTATGAGAATACTATAATTATGCTTAAATTATTAATAACTACTTTCAACATGAATTCATTTTGATATAGTTTTTAATTTTAATAACAGAGGTCATAAACACATAGAATATTTTATAGATGATGCTACTTAACCACATTATAGTTGTTAAGTGGTGTCTGCCCTATATAGGTGTGTTTGGCTGTACAGAAGTCATATACACAGTTCTGGCAAACAAATTTTCTCTAAACATTTGTGGTTAGAAATAGCCATATGTTATGCTTTCTTAAAATAATTTCAAGTGTATTAAGGGAGTACTCATACCAATATTGTGGTGACTGTAGCTGCCAGGTGTATATATCAAATTACAGTTAACTAGGACAGATTTTTTTACTTCCATGTACTTTAAATGAGATTTCTGTCTACTATTGACAGAAAATGCGGGGTAGGGTTTTTTTTTGCAGATTTTGAAGTATTAACTATGACTACCACTTCTTTTCTCAGCTATATGGGCATAATTCCATAAATGGTGATGATACAGGTATTTGAGATTGTATGAATAATCTGTGTTACCTTTTCTGTAAGGGAAGTTGGCCACAGACAGGTTACTGATTCAATCTTTCTGAAGAATGGTCTCAACTAACAAGCAGTTTCTGAGAAACTGGAACCATCAGTGAAGAAGCTGGCATTATTTTCAAGCTATAAATGTCTAGCTGATTTCCTTGGGAAGTATTATCACACTAACAAATACTGAGACTAAGAGGGAAATAGCAGTTTGTAATCAGCACACAATATATAAGGTTGATATTTTTGCCTGGCAACTTTCTCCTTTAAGCCTTTCCAGACAGCTTAAGGCCAAGCCCAGCAGTATAACTGTATGAGATGCAGGCGTCTGCTCTTGGTGGGGAGGGGAGTTGGGTTTTTGGAGGTGTCCATGTTACACTGTCATTGTGTTTTTTCTTGCCGAGGAAAGATCCTGTCATCCCAGACTGTCTCAGTCCATGCCTCATGGCAGGGCTTTTTAGTTAAATCAGAAAAATGTGTCAAGAGAGTAAAATCCCCTGCCCAGACAAGGAGCTTCCTCCCTGCACACCAGCCACAACTTTTCCTTCATGCTCTCTCTGTGCCTAACCTGCAGGGCAAGGTCTTTCAGCTTCCAGATTTCAGACAAGACAGCTTGCTAAACGTCAAGGAATTGTCAGTCTCGATGTGTCCCATGCTTCTATCCTATATGTGCAGTGAGTCTGACATAACTGATTTCAGGCTTGCCAGTGGGAGTGCCCTGTGCACTGGTAAGCCAGTAAATTTGTCCTTGCTATGATCAGGTGTTCTTCAGTCATTTGAGCCGGTCTTTCAACAAAGTAGTTGTAGATGAAATGGGAGCTAGATCTCCTTCCAGTAACTGGCCAGGTATACCCTAATCAATCTCCCATCATCTTCTAGAGAGCAGGAAGAGATTGAGATGCTTTTCTAGAAATGGTTATTGACTTTATGCACATATTTATAAATAGATACATTACAAGGTGCAAAAAACTTCTAGATATTACTTGTACTTTGACAGAAAGATCCTGAAGTGGTTTAAAGGATACATTTGACTCACATAAAGGCAACCTAGATCCATCTACAAGTACATTTCTATCTTCTTTCATACAGCGTGCCACAGTAAATCCTGCAACTCCCTCACTGGGAGGGAAAGTGTCAGGGCTACATCGACTAGAAAGCAGTATCCGAAAGGAACGCCCTTCACAGACATAATGCCTAACGCAGGTCCTATTGCTAATGATATTCCTATGGCTTTCTAATGGGTAATCTAGGAGTCTTTACTGCTCAGAAATCCAAGATGAGGCTCTAACTGGCCTAGTACATGCCTTACTGATGTATTAGAGCTCTTAGATGTACAGTGTTTTCTGCCAAAAGTGAGACATTGCTGTCAGTGAACATATAAACTATCTCAGTCCTTTCTTGAAAATAAATCTGCAATAAACTTCCATACCAGGCTCTCAGAAAAACTGTGCTGTATGCTTTATATAACTTGACAGGTGACAATTATAAATTTTTCCTTGGTACTGGGGGGTGGGCTTAAAGCAATACAGAAATAAAAATTCCTCTTCTTCCTTTCCGCTGCCTTTTTAATTTTTTTTCTTGGTGCAAGAATAGTATTGTGTTTGATATAGACCTTTGGACTAAGGATATGAATATTAAAATAATAACCATCTTGCATCACCTGCTGAATTTCATCTCATTTGGCTAGTGATGCATACTCCCTGTGGAGGATCCGTCTGCTTTGCTTACCTTATCTCTGAACATTTGATTAGAAAGCCTTGCACCATATCAGTTACAAACACATGGGTCCACATGACTCCGTGTAATCCAAAATAGCCTGACATTATGCAGAGAAAATTAAGACTGGAAAATAAGGTGGAGTACAGAGTCCTGGAGATAAGAAAAATCATAACATGGGAAGGTAACTTTACTCTGGGTTGCACCCAAAACCCATCAGTGTGTGTAAGCACATTTCTGTGAACTTGGTGAAGTAGTACTTCAGTACTTTTGTGTATGCCTCAGTTTATCAAAGTATTTTCATGTATTTAAAATATTGAAGCAATGTATTGGGCAGCAAGTTTTGGAATGACTCAGAGATTTGCATTAACAGGTATGAGATTTACATAGATCAATTGAAAACATACTGCTATGTACTACATTTTACGATTTTTATTGCTGTAAGGCACATCTGGCAGGTGAGTTAGTATTCTCTGAAACTGCCAGATGATCTCACTGGAGAATCTGTTTTTATGATAAATTCAGCAAAGTTAGCAGCATGGCATGTTTTTGTCTCTGCATCTCTGGAAGGATGACCGTGGTCAGTGGTGTTGCTCTGCAGGAACAGCTGAATTGTCTGGGACAAAGGCCTGTCTGGTTCATCTGGGAAACAGGGCTTTTGTGCAAGCCAGTTCAAGGCATCAGAATAGATTCTAATGGATTTTTTTAAAGTTCTGCCTTTCCTATTCCAAGTCCAAGACACTTTTCTTTGACTTTGTCCTAAGTAGTAGGAATATACAAAACAGCAGAAAGAAAATTCAAAAGAAAAACAGAAAACCAACTTAAAATGTGAAGGAAATTTACATGATAAATATTAGTGACAAAACCTGCACTTCCAGGAAGCTTTGTGGTAATATACTAAAGGATAATCTGTAGAAAAAATAGAATTTTCTGGGTTTTATCTACTGTCAGTCTTCCTTAGTAACACAGAGGAAGATTGGCCTATTTCAGTCCTTGGCTATTTGAGATGGACATTATGAGTACTCATTATCAGCTGAGATAGTGTTTTTTTACAATGGTAGCTAGTCAACTTGAATTTAAAAGTTCTTTGCATCTAAGTGATAGAATAGTATTCTTACAGGAAGACAGTATCACTAATATGGACTTAATCTTCACTGTTTTAATTCTGAAACCCTGTGCCTTTCTCAGATAATTTTTTTTTTCATTTTGGTTCTGTGGAATGTCCCTCTAAGAAAAAGTAATGCTTGGTCTATAATAGGAAAATTTCTGTGCCTTTTCTTTATTTCCTTTTAAACTTCCTTCCAACTTCAACAAATCTTCCAACAAGAGGAGTGTGGAGAGTCTTGTTTCATTATTACAATATCTCATCTTAAATCTCCTCTGGTAACTCCTGACAAATGGCACAGAGTTAACACTTCTAGTGACTTCCTTTTCGGTAGTTTAAAGGCAGGATATTACACACTTTTTGTGTGTTTACGAGGCTGTGGGAAACGTTGAGATCAGCCAATGCTGCTATATTTCTTATCACCAAAATGAGGTTGTCCTTCCCGATTCTTTTTGTCTTTTCACAACTAAACAGAAGCTTTTGTATTTTCATTGTCTCCTACTTCTATTATTTCTTAATGTTGGTATCTGTAACATAACCACAATCAATGAGGTCATATGGTGCTGCTATTGTAAAATATTCAGGTCTCAGTAAGCAGTAATTTTGGTTTACCATAGGAACACGGCTTGGGTAAAAATATGGAAAGCTTGACAGACTACAGTGTTTTCAGTACTAATCACCAAATTATGTAATCACAAAAGAATCTGGTGCATCCCTGTTGTTACAGTACTGCAAAGCAGTGTTGCTCTCCAACCCACAGCAACTTACTAGGCACCGTGAATTTTCCTCACACAGAAACCTTGAATCTTTAGTGCATCAGCATTGTGTCCTTCTAATCAATTTCTGATCAAAGGTAACCCTTATTAGTTCCATATGTCACTATTAGTATCAGTTGTTCAAGGAAGTCTTCTCACACAGTTATGTTGGTTATCAAAATGACAAAGGCAATTGGTGTTTCTTCCTTTCATCAGTTCATAGTCGTTGGAACTGTGTTCTCACATAATGACTTTTCATGTGCAAAGCCCTGTTTCCCATTAACCCCTCAAAAATATCTTGCAGAACATTTTTATCTTTTGTCAAAGGCCTAGATTTATTTT